CATCAGGAGCTTTTCAGGAGTTTTCTGCAGGTGTGAAAGAAATATACCTGAAACTTTGTGGAGATTTTCAGGAGTGTGTGAAAACAGCTCCTGAGTGTGAGCTCTGTGGTGACTCTGTGTTTTGATAATGATGGTGGTGGAGGTGGGGGTTACTGGACGGCAGGCTGTAATTAGGCGCCTGGCCTACTGGGCCCTGCTCTGACAGCCCGATCCCAGCTGGACACTAAAAGTAGACCGGCCTGAAATAACTCACACACACATACACACAACGTAGAAACTAAATGAAGAGATGACTGAAGCAACACGACCATATGATAATTTAAACTTGGTTTGAGTTACGATGATCATACTTGAATTTAGTGTTTGCGTGTGTGTGTACCTGTGTTTCTCTGTGTGTGTTAATGACACAGTTGTTCAGAGGCATGGCCCCTCAAAACCTTGTTTAGCCCTCCTGATATGTCATCCTGGTAAATCTGGGCCAGTGAAATCACTTCACACACACCACAAATCTCCCCCCCCCCCATCACCATCAACATCATCACCACCACCCTGCGCTCTGACCTCACTCACACTCCCTAAGGAGCGCCTGATTCATGATCACCAGGTGCACAGGGCAGGAGGGACTGTGTGACCTCAGCTCTAAGCTCCTCGGCTCGTAATGAACGGCCTGCTAAGAGACAAACACGGGCTGGATCACTTTCACGTTAGTCTTAATTTCTTGTTGTAGAAGTTCAACAGGTGTAGAGACATGTGCACGCCGCTCTGAGATCAGTCAGAAGTTGGAGGATAATAACGACAAAATGATTATTGACTTAAGTACGTGGTCGTTACAAACACAGGTCATGGCATTTGGAGTTGGGCGGTGTCCAAGTTTTGATGCTGTTTGAGCTCCCCATCACTTTCCCCGGTTTTCCGGGATTAACATGACGAATAAAAAATCACGCTGTAGGGCGCTAGGAGCCGCTCAAATTATTCACTTAAATACAATTCAGATTCTATTACTAGTATTATATGTGCTGACCTTTTTTATCCATATAATTGGAGATTTCTCTCCACTGATTCCTCCACGTTATCTCACTAGTCGTGTTCAGTCGCAGCGTCTGATTTGATTGGCTGAGTAACGTCACATTTTATGATTTCTGATGAAAGCATAGTCTGTGACCTTCCTGGCCCCAATAGCACGCCTCTGAAACCACTGTTTTTTAAATTTAATTGAACTGATACCTGTGCTATTTTTAAAACACTGCGAGATCTTGTATTACCCAAGCAGCAACCTCCAGTGTTAAAACTTGAAGCCGATGCTGAAGTGTAATATCCTGCAGTTCCTCAAGTGTCCACTAGAGGCTGGCTGCAGAAGCACAGGAAGTCACATACACACCCATTCTAAAAAGCCTGTTTTTACAGCAGAGATTAACATGTTTACAGCCTGGTTCAAAAAAACGAATAGGTCTGATTAGCTCATGTCGCAATCGTGAATGTTTTGATGACTCATCCGTTTTATTTGATGAAGGATAAGAGTTATTCACAATAAGGCGTGTAGCTGACCTGATTAACAGACCTCAGCTCCAGCTCTCAGCCTGTCGTTAGGTTGACTGAAAGTTAGGCTGAGACAACATTTCCAGCATGGAGACCGCCATCGATGGGACTCCAGCGCCCCCTGCAGGAACAGATGGGGGACGTCACTCAGGCTCCAAACATTCATATTTACTGTCTGTGGTATTCCCATATTGCCCAAGCCCATTGCATTGTCTACAATTATTATCAGTGACGATCCTTCTGTCAAACTGTCCTCTGAGCCAAAGTAGAGTTCAGTTTTTATGGACAATTAACTGAGCGCACAGATCCAGAGAAACTTCTGACTCAAAGTGCAGTGACACAGCAAACATGAACTCCACATTGGATTGACTGACGCAGGTCAAAACACACTCACACTAACAGCAGATATTCAACCTACAGCTGGTGGAGGGAATCCGTAGTCAGTATCAGGGTATAAACTACAATTTGTGGTCTGAAGACTGTCAAAGAGGTGACAGTGAAGGCATCATCTGCATTTTGTTGTTGATTTCCTGGAACTGTTTGTCACTCACAGTGACCGTGACACCACTGACTCGCTGAATGTTATTTTAATGATTAAAAAGGATCGAAGCTTTAAAGAAACTGAAGATCTTCAGTCACATTTTTAACCAGTGTGTCTGATGTTTTTGATGATAATAAACAGGAAAGTACCCAGGTTCTATTTTTATTGCTGTGGTATCAAACGGGTATCAATGTCTTTGAGCAACATCCCAGAAATACTGAACCTTCACATGTTGATTGTTTACTTCTGTTATGTACGACGGTGTGTAACTGTGGCTGTCAAACACAGAGTTGGCCAATCAGAGCACATCTAAATTAGAGCGGTCTGTTATGTAATCCTCCTCGCTCTTTGTAACCTTCTCTCCTGTAGTCGAGGAGGACCTCTGTTCTCTCTGTCATCGAGGGCGACCTTCTCTAGAGGAAGTCGGGTCCCCAACTTTGCCTCTGGTCACTACTCCCCCTGTTGCCATGGACATCCTGGCAGAGAGGGCTCGGTGTATAAATAGCCGACAGCCTCCATCAGTGTTGGGTTTCAGGAGCAGCTGCTCACAGACAGACAGATGGACCGACCACACCTGTCTCACTGTTGGTCCATTTGTCTGTCTGTCAGACGGGAGGTCTGCAGGGTGAGGGGGGGATCTGAAGCCTCGTGAGATGATCTTCTAACTCATTGGTTCCCAACCTGGGGTCCAGGCCCCCTAGAGAGAGCACCAAATATCTCATGGGTTCTCTTTGCTGTGAAGTTTTAAAAATTTGATTTGCAAATATTCACTTAAATTATGACTCACTTACTGGAAGGGTTTACAAAGTTCTGTCGAAAAATCTGTCTCACTCAAATTTAACTAAAAAATATCAGTTTACTCACCTACATTTCCACAGTCTACATCAGCGCCACGGCTTTGCTCTGTCCGACTGTTTGTGCCCTGTCCCACTGGGCCCGTTACTTGAGCATGAACTCAGCGGAGCACAGCCACGAGCAGCTGTGCTCACCGGGTTCACAAGATCACAGGAGAACTAAAAACATGCAAACAACATGTTGCTTTGTCTTTCTGAGGATGATCTGTTGTTCACTCTGTGCCTGTTTTGACATCATGTTGATAAAGTGATGGAAAATACGATCAGGAGTCTGTATGTTGTGTCTTATTTTGAAATTGGCCGGATGCTCTGTGCGTTTCCTTGTCTGACTTCCTGTCCGGGTCGTTTTATTCTGCTAAGCTTGACGCGTTGTGGAAATAGGAGCATTGACTAGAGTGGCAGCGAATGTCGCCGCAGTGCGCCTCACTGACAGGCCGCGGCGTGCACGGACTATGTTGAAATTGGCAATCAGTCACCCACACTCGTAATTTATTGCATAAGCAACATATCACCTTCTTTCTAACGTCAGATCTTCTGTCCAACTTATCAACTCAAAGCTGCTGATGAAATCATCTCGAGGGTAACTCCTGTTTGTCTGTGAGGGTAGTATGAAAACACCATACAAGACGAGCGTTCTGAAATCTCCCACAGCGTGACATGATGCATTTTTAATCCTCAATTCTGTGTGTGCGGCCGTTTATCCACAAGTCTGTGTTTAATAATCCCCGAACAGAGAAACACCTTCAAAGAGGAGCGCGTATGTTTCTACAGAAGCTCGAAAAAATGAAAAAATTCAACAGATGAAGAGTGTGTTTACCTCTCAGGTTCACACAGGATTATATTAAGTTAAAGACCAATCAAAGCTCAGCGTCAGGTGTACAGCTAAGCAGCTGCTCAGCGGCTTATTAAAATAAACCGCCTGCAGACACCGGAAGCTATGACGTTTGTTTCTCTTCTCAGCTGACTCTCAAAAATATTTAGATGAATTCTAAAACGAAGTGAAATCATCGGCCACTGATCACAGAGGTTAACTTTAGCACCTTTTCCACCAAGCGGTCCGGTTTGGTTCAGTACGGTTTTGTCGGTAAACCCTGATCTTGTTTGTGTTTCCACAGCCAACCGTCCCCTTACTTAGAAAGCGAGATGTAAGCAGGATGGCGATAGACGTGTCAGCTTCATAATAGCGTGACATCATAGCAGCGTGACACAGAGTAGCATGCCAATAAATTCAAAGTAGAAGAAGAGCGCGTAACGGTTAACAAAGGGCAACAATAGAGGCCATCCAGCAGAGGTCAGCACCTCTGAGGTCATCCATGGGGCGGAGCTACACGCTGGCATTAGTCGCAAATAATTTAAAACAGCCTTGAAGTTACTCTTTCCAAATCCATTGGATATTTAAACATGGTGGTTTGTCCTTTATTAGCTCTGTCGCACAGGAAGTGATGATTACTGTGTGGACCAATCAACGGACTGCAGTGTGTCTAGCTCCGCCCTTTAGGGGTCGGATCAGGACGCTTGTCAACCCAACAGAATGGAAGTAAAAAAGCAAGACGGTATGAACAGTTATTTTGGTACTATTCCAAACTGGTGAACAACACCTGGTTGAAACGAGGCTTTAGAAACTGAAGAAAACGTGTAAACATCTGGAGTAATAGATGTAAACATCTGGAGTAATGGATGTGAACATCTGGAGTAATGAATGTGAACATCTGGAGTAATGAATGTGAACATCTGGAGTAATAGATGTAAACATCTGGAGTAATGAATGTAAACATCTGGAGTAATAGATGTAAACATCTGGAGTAATGGATGTAAACATCTGGAGTAATCTGACATCTGCATGTTTGAAATTAACCTGAGGTATCTCTCAGGTTGTGCTCAACAGGTGGGATGTTTGGGGCGGTTTTGGAGCATGAAGCGGTTTCATCGGTGTTACTGTTAAATATAAAGATTGTTCACAATGTTCTGTTGGATGACAACATGAATAACTCTTGTTTCTCTCTCTCTCTCTCTCTCTCTCTCTTTCTCCCCCTCTCCCTCCCTCTCTCTCTCTCTCTCTGTGTCTCCAGGCGAGGATAGCGTTCCTGCAGGGTGAGAGGAAAGGTCAGGAGAACCTGAAGAACGACCTGGTTAGAAGAATAAAAATGTTAGAATACGCTTTAAAACAGGAAAGGTAAGAGACTGATGCTGCTTCTGTTTTTCTTTGTTTGGAGGTTTTATCACATTACATTTTGAGCGATCTTCACCTGATGTTGCTCCCAGTGAAAAGTCTGCGTTCAGACCAGTTACAAGTTATCGTACCGCTGAGTGATCCGCTCAACTTTTTGTGCTGATGGGAAATCCCGAGTATCCCGGTTCTGATCATATTCAGGATCTGGAGTTTACCTGCACACAGAGAAACCTGGTTCTTCATCTCCCTGTAGACATGATACATACATACTTGTGTGATGTTTATGCCGGGCTCAGCATTATTAAACAACAACACAGCGTTATAGATATAGGGTCTTCATCTCATCAGAGAGAGTAACAGCAAGTAAGATGCTCTTGTTGCTGCCGCCGGCATGTTGGTTTTTTTTTAAACGTAATTTTGCTGAGGCCGTGCCTGTACTAATTGTCGTCAGCTGCCAGACTGGGCGGACTCCGGATTTTAAATCAAGAGCGGTCAAATTTAGATTTATTCATAATTAGATTTTTATCCCCCGGTTACGACCACAACCTTCCCGGTGTTACGGTCTAAGAGAGTGACACTTGGAGTGCTCTTGGTCTTGACTTGGCCTCGAACCCTATGTGTCTCGGTATCTGAGCACTCTGATCTCGGGTATTTATTGGTATCAGACGGTTAGTGCTATCTTGACTACAAAACGATCTGTGATTAGTTTTCTTGTTTAGCTGAACTTTCTTCATGACTGATTTCTCTCTTTCATCATGTTTTCTTCTGTTTTCTCGTGTTAGTAAATGATGCATCGTGTTCTGTTTCTTTCTCCTCAGAGCAAAATATCACAAGTTAAAATACGGGACAGAGTTAAACCAAGGAGAGATGAAAATGCCAAGCTTTGAATCAGGTGAGAAGGAGGCGGATTTACCTGTGGTTCACCTTCATTTTGAAAATACTCAGTTACACCCTCACCTTCCTCCTCCCTCCTCTTAAATCTCTTCTCTGCAGCTTTGATCTCCTTTTTCCTCCTCTCTTCTGTTCTTCTTCATGTTGGAGATAAAGAAACGTGTGGAGGTCCCTATTTCACTGTTTTCTCACTGTGTGTGTGTGTGTGTGTGTGTGTGTATAGACACCAAAGACTCTGAGGTCTCTGCTGTTCCTGCCAACAGTCAGCTCACCTGGAAACAAGGAAGACAACTACTCAGACAGTAAGAACGCTCTGCTGCTGCTCATTCAACATTCTCAAGTACATTTCACTCCACCGGTTCAAACAATGTAATCTCTCACTCCCTGACCTTTGTGGTCCTGTGTGCAGGTACCTGCAGGAGGTGGGATACACAGACACTATCCTGGACGTTCGTACTCAGCGGGTGCGCTCTCTGCTCGGCCTGTCGGGCTCCGAGCAGAATGGATCTGTGGAGAACAAGAACCTGCAGCACCTGATCAACGGCACAGAGCGCCGCAAGGACGCCAAGAGGTACACACACACACACACACAGTCCTGAGGAGGCCTGAGGTCAGACTAGGATACCAGATTATTAAAGTTTGATGATTCCAATAAGAATCGACCGACATCGATGTCTGTTTGATATCACAGCTATAGAAGTCCTCAGTGTGTCTGTGTGTTTGTGTCCAGGAGTCCAGGTGACGTTCTGGAGACCTTTAACTTCCTGGAGAACGCAGAGGACAGCGACGAAGAGGAGGATGAGGAGGGAGACCTGATGGACGACATCACCACAGACAAACACCACAGAGCCAAGAAACACAAAACCAAGGTCACACACAGGACACACACTCCTCCCTTACTTCTTCATCTCTCCTTCAAATATTTCATTTGTTCTCCTGTACTTGACATTTTCTCCTCCTGCTCCTCCTCTTCCTCCTCCTACTCCCCCTCCTCTTCCTCCTCCTGCAGGTTGGGAACGAGGGTTTGGCGTCCGAGGATGACGCAGACACGGAGGAGGCTCTGAAGGAGTTTGACTTCCTGGTGACAGCGGAGGACGGAGAGGGAGCCGGTGAAGCTCGGAGCTCCGGAGACGGGACAGAGTGGGGTGAGGGACATTTTCAATCCTTTCTCGTGAAGTTCAGTCAGGAGTGACGTCGGGCCCGATGACACAGAGAGGCGGAGCCTAACCATTGTGACTCTGGTACAGCAGAGCCTGCCGGGCGCTCGCTTGTGCTGCTGCGTGTTTCTAGCTGTTCTGGAGCGCACAGAAAAGTTAAACGGTTTTCAACGATTCTGCTCAAGACCCCGAGTCACACTCATCAATGTTACTTTTGGCAAAAGCAGCCTATCAAATCATGGAGGAGGCTTTACCTCTTTTTCCCCTCCTCGTCTAGGAGCAAAGTAACAGCAAGAGCTCTACGTTTGCTCGAATCCTTTTTCCCTCACATATTTGATATGGTCGATGGTCTCTAAAGGTGATTTAACAGCTTCTGAAGTATTTTAAATGAAAAGGATTTTATTTTCTCTCTGCAGCGGAGCCTCTTCCGTTTCCTCCTGGCGGTGGGAAGTCCTTCCTGTTGGGGGGATCAGACGACGTATTGGAGAGCGTGCTGGGTTTAGGCGACCTCGCCGACCTCACCGTCACCAACGACGAAACAGACTACAGCTACGACGTAAGACACGCTCCTAACCTCAGAAACCCTTCATCACACAGGGGTTCATTAAATACATTTAATTACACCTTCTTTTTTTTTACCCCAGCTGCCGTCCAATAAGGAGTCTTCATTCAGGAAGACATGGAACCCAAAGTACACGCTGCGGAGCCACTTTGATGGCGTGCGAGCGCTGGCCTTCCACCCCGTCGAGCCCTGCCTGGTCACCGTGTCCGAGGACCACACCCTCAAACTGTGGAACCTCACCAAGACCGTCCCTGCCAAAAAGTACGTCAACAAGCCCTCGGTTTGCCAGATATGAGACCAGTTATCATCTAAACACTAGGTGTCAGAGTTACATACTGCTCCTTTAAATGCTCCATTATGACCTCATGACAGAAATTATGCTAAAAAAAAGTGAAAGCTGAGTGTGATAGTGGCGGCCTCACTTTCAGCCATGATGCTGCAGGTCTCAGCATTTTATACTTGTATATCAGTCACACAGGTTTATAAGACTCAGCCAACTTTTAGATGATAAACATTAAAGTCTTCTACACCAGATTATATATTATCTTTGTTTTTACAGGTTTTGTTATCAGAAACATAAACAGTGTCAGAGAGTTCATTTGGAACAGATCATGTTTGTCGATTCTCTGCTTCAAAGGAAAATCCATCCTCTCCTCTCTCCCTCTCTCTCTCTCGCCCTCTCTCTCTCTCTCTCGCCCTCTCTCTCGCTCTCTGTCTCTTTCGCCCTCTCTCTCGCCCTCTCTCTGTCTCGCTCCCTCTCTCTCTCTCCCCCTCTCCATTTCTCTCTCTCTCTCTCCCCCCCTCTCTGTCTCTCTCCCTCGCTCTCTCTCTCCCCCTCGCCGTTTCTCTCTCCCTCTCTCTCTCTCTCCCCCTCGCCGTTTCTCTCTCCCTCGCTCTCTCTCTCCCCCTCGCCGTTTCTCTCTCCCTCTCTCTCTCTCTCCCCTCTCCATTTCTCTCTCTCTCTCTCTCCCCCTCTCTGTCTCTCTCCCTCGCTCTCTCTCCCCCTCGCCGTTTCTCTCTCTCTCTCTCTCTCTCTCTCTCTCTCTCTGATCCGTCAGTATTTACATCTCATTTCCTCCTCAGCAGCGTTTCTGACATGCTTCGTGAACTTCAAACACACACATCAGTGCTCTGTTCCTAATCCTGCTCTAAACTCGACTCAGGAATTACTGCATCTCTCTAAGTCACAACAGAGCTCATGAGGATAGTGATGTGTTCTAGAAACAGTCTGGATGTTTGATTGCTTTCTGTTCGTTTTGCAGAAGTGCCTCCTTTGACGTGGAACCCATCTACACATTCAGAGCTCACGTGTATGTATCGCGCACACACACACACACACACACACAGAGGTCATCAGGATTCATTTGTGATTTTTAAGATCGATTTTGATGCCACAAAGTAAACAGTATAAAAATCCCTGATGACCCTCCGTGTCTCTGTTTTCTCTGCAGCGGTCCAGTGTTGTCGTTGACGATGACCTCTAGTGGTGAACAGTGTTTCAGCGGCGGCATCGACTCGACCATCCAATGGTGGAACATCCCGAGCTCCAACGTCGACCCCTATGATACTTACGGTACACAAACACTCTTTTCTTTACCTTTGACGCTTTAAAAATCATTCTCCAGCTTCCACAAACACGCTGACTTTCCACACCCTCTATGCTCGTCCAATCAGATGCCAGCGTTTTGGCGGGGTCGTGGCTTGGTCACACAGATGCCGTGTGGGGATTGGCTTATAGCGGCATCAAGAACCGCCTTCTGTCCTGCTCGGCCGATGGAACGGTGAAACTGTGGAACCCGACGGACAAGAACCCCTGCATCAGCACTTTCAACACAGACAAAGGTGAAAGCAGCAGGCGGAGAGAGCGCCCCTGTGTGGACGTTATGGGAACAGCAGCTATCACACCCTCACTTAATTTATTAACAGATGTGTGTGTGTGTGTGTGTGTGTGTGTTCAGAGCACGGCATCCCCACGTCGGTGGACTTTAATGGCTGTGACCCCGCCCACATGGTGGCATCGTTTAATAGCGGAGATGTGGTGGTGTACGACCTGGAGACATCCCAGAATGCACTGGTGCTAAAGGGGCAGGGAGAAAGCAGTAAGAACCTCATGATTCATACTCAGATATTTTTAATAAGCTGTTGATTTGTGCTTAAATGTTCTTTTCTTTTCTCTCTTTGTGACACCTCATCCTCCTCCTCCTTCTCATCCTCCCCCTCCTCCTCTCTCTCCTCCTCTCTCTCCTCTTCCTCCTCCTCCCCCTCCTCCTCTCTCTCCTCCTCTCTCTCCTCTTCCTCCTCCTCTCTCTCCTCCTCCCCCTCCTCTCTCTCCTCTTCCTCCTCCTCTCTCTCCTCCCCCTCCTCCTCCTCTCTCCCCTCTTCCTCCTCCTCTCTCCTCCTCCTCCTCTCTTTCCTCCTCCTCTCAGCCCTCCCGGGCTCGAATCATATCAATAAGGTGGTAAGTCATCCCACGTTGCCGGTCACCATCACGGCTCACGAAGACCGCAACATCAAATTCTACGATAACAAGTCAGGTGAGTCTGTTCACACTTTGATTGACCTTCATTTAAACGGCTGACGTTTAAAGAAAGTTTTGAGAAGCTCTCAGTTTGCTTGTGCAGGTGTGGATGCTGATGCTGCAGGTGTTTAATAAAGTCAAAGAAAGAATCAGGAAGTGCTTTCACCTGATTTAAAAACATCAGGATGATGTGAAGCTGCGTCTACTCTGGGCATCAAAACAGTAACAGAGTAGATACCAATTCCACTCGGCTAAGGCATGGTGTCCACCGACTGCTTTTTCTCCTGGATGCAGCGTATTTTTTTAAATGTCAATGAGTAGAGAGCGTTTGCAGCAGCAGGGGGTCGCCTGGAGAAAGACCCCAGCGTCTTTCCAAGCGCTTCGCCTCTGAGCATTCTTACCGGCGCTCTTTTCAAAATATAGATAAGATATTTCCCTGTTTTTTGGTCTCCTATGGATCGTGTCCTGTACCCACATCCTCTTTGTGCCGTGTCTGCAGGGCGAGATAAACACTAAAACGGTCTCTTTAATAGGTCACAAGAGGTCAGAACAGAAATGTGATTAAATAGAAAACATTTCAGTCTCTGACCACTAATCAAAGTCCAGGAAGGTCTGCATGTATCTGCAGCGTCCTTCAGGGTGACAATAAAGGTTATTAATAGTGTTTACCTGACCTCTGTGTGTGTGTGTGTGTGTGTGCGTGCAGGTAAAGTGATCCATGCCATGGTGGCACACCTGGACGCAGTGACCAGTCTGGCTGTGGATCCAAACGGGATTTACCTGATGTCGGGCAGTGAGTGTCTTTAAACCAACAGGAAGCTGATTTATTCAGTCCGGTGTTTGATCACACTTCTCACCTCTCCTCCTTGTTTTTCCCTCCTTCCTATTTCTCCTCTCCTCTTACTCCTTGAATTACTACTTGTTCTCTTCTATTTCACCTCCTCTATTTCTCTTCTCCCCCTATTTTTACATCTCCCCCACCTCCTTCTCCTCCTCAGGTCATGACTGCTCCCTGCGTCTGTGGAATCTCGACAGTAAAACGTGTGTTCAGGAGATCACGGCTCACAGGAAGAAGAGCGAGGAGGCGATCTACGACGTGGCCTTCCACCCCTCCAAGGCCTACATCGCCTCCGCTGGAGCTGACGCCCTCGCCAGGGTCTACGTGTAAACGAGGAAGAGAAGAAGAAGAGGAGGAGGAGGACAACTAGGCAAGAGACACATAGAGAGAGAGAGGGAGAGAGAGACGGGCTGAAGAATCAGGTCTGTTCAGCTCTCTGAACACAGAAAATACTCGGGACGGAGGAGACGACTGAACACACACACACACACTCTCTCTCTCTCATTCACACACAAACTCATACAAACACGCATACACACTCTCTCTCATACACACACACTCTGGGACTGAAGACAGTGAGGGATGTTCAGCAGCACAAACGTTGTGAAAACGTTGTTTAAAGGTTGACACTGAGTAGCTCACCTGCCCTGTGATGTCATTGCCCTCCAAGTCCTGATGCGGCTCAGATGACTTTTCATTAAGTCCCGCCCCCTCCTCTTCCTTCATTTTAACACTAATCTGACCTCCTGACCCCGCAGACAGAGGGCGCTCTAACAGGAAACATCCTCAACAATCAGCTGCTTTAGTTTCTGTGTTCAGTAGTTTTCTTCTTCTGTTGTCTCGTCCAAATGTTTCCAGCTGCCTCAGGTTCAGGTCCAGTGTTTGGCGACTCAAAGGGCGAGAGCGTTGTTGTTGTTTTACCTCTGACATTCAGTAAAACAGGAAACTCTTCATGTTAAAGTCACACTGAGACGTCACCGTGTGAACCGCTCAAACATCTGTGCTGCGTGTGCGCTGATCTTTGATCGCTGATCTCTTGTCTGATGAGAATCTCTTATGAATGTGGAGCAGAAATGTCGCCTCAAACCCCCGGGGTAGTCTGTGTCCTCTCCCTGCATCCAGGTCCTCCTCAGACCGCTTGAAAGTCGGTCCTTCTTCTTTGTCGTATTCGTGCGTTTTCAGTCGTTACGTGCGAACAACACGGGTGCTAAAAAGTAGCGTTGTCACGATCCACAGTTTTAAACGTCGATATGATTCTCGTAAAACTCCAACGACATCGATACCTGTTTTAATATAACGGAGTGTGTCTGCAGTTTTTGAATGGTCAGTTTGAATAAGAACTGAAACTAGGAAGCGGTCTTCCTCCTACATTACTCAAATTTACAGGGTGTACATGAATGCAGCATTACTTCTGTGGGATTCAGTTGACATTAACTTTAAACAGAACTTCAGAACGGATAAGGGTCGTCATGATATCAGAATTTTAAACTTCTAGTAACCATCATGATCAATGATATCGATACCTGTTTGTTACCACGGCAACAGCAATGGAAGTCCAATACCTGGTCATCTCTTGGTTTTAATGACCAATAATTGCAGACAATCTCCTGCACACTGACACGTTTGAACGTATACCGCTAGCCGACGTATTGGTGCAGTTTAGACTGTTCTCTCTCTCGCTCTCTCTCTCTGTCTCTCTCTCTCTCTCTCTCTCTCTCTCTCTCTCTCTCTCTCTCTCTCTCTCTCTCGGCGTGACATTTTTTAAAGCTTTGGTACATTTTTCGATACTATCGATTATAAAAATATCAGATTGTATCATTTTAAAAACATATTACATCGTGAATACTTCTTGCTGAACGTCCTCTCTCCTCACTCTCCTCTCTTCACGAGTTCAAAACGACGTGTAAGGAGGTGCTTCGATGTTTAGAGGGAACAGCTGATCTGAGGCAGTCGATTGAAACGCTCTGAACAGAACAACAGAAGAAGAAGAGGACGGTTGTCGACCTCAAGCTGCAGCAGAGTCAGAGAAGAGTTGAGCTGCTTTTAAGACAGAACAGAACTTGTGATGTTTTTAACCCAACGTGTTTCTGTTTTTAGTTTCTTAAAGTTTTCATGAAAAAAAGATCGGATTCTTTTTTACGTGTTTTTTAAAATGATCTGGAGTTTGATTCGCCACGTCGGGTTAAAAATCATGTTCCTGTTTTTTTCCTCTCTGAGCTGCCAGCTGATTGGACATCTCTCAAGTTTCTGAGGATTGGTTAATTCATCCCCCAACCTCAGTGGGCCAATCAGAGCTCAACGTTTACCAGGCGGCGAGTCGGGGGCGTTCAGCGTTACTGTAGTTCCACATGGACGTTTTCTGTTTGTGTAAAATAAATCTAGTTTTTATAATCGTTTTTATAAATGTGGAGACGGATTCTGGTCCCTCATTCCCTACCAGTCCCGCCATCATGGCGCTCACAGGCGACGCCCACCTACTTCCTGTATCCACGTATTCATCTGACACTCAAGGATGGAGTCTGGTTTCCTGCGAGGAACTCTGGGTTCAGGTTCTGGACTGCGTTGAGGATTTGATGTTACGTAAACATCAGAGGAGAGAGGAGGAGCAGCCGAGGAGACTCGGCCGAGGAGGAAGACGCTGCTCTGATAGACATCTTTCTGTCAGGGTTAGAGTTGTCATGGTAACTTAATTTATAAAGTTTCCTATGATTCCAGTTAAAATCAAACAATATTATTACCTTTTTGTTAGCACGGCAACCAAATCAAAAGTCCATGAGACCTGGTATTCAGTAATTTATTGATTTAAATCATTAAAATTTGGACAAACTTCTGCACACTAACTTCGGCAACTGTTCAGTACCAAAACATTGCCAACGTGCTCACTCTCTCTCTTTGTTACAAACATGGCTGACGGTTTGTAGTTTTCTTAAAGTGTCGTTCCTCTTTGATTCTCTTGATCATTAAGATAACTGTTATATCGTTATAAAAACGTGTGCAATCAAAACATGTTGAAGTCATGAATATTCTGACGACCTTTGTCCGTGTTTCTCCTGCTTAACGCTTTTCTACGTAATCAATAATAAATAAAATCGGCTGGATTCACTTTCAGATCTGATTTGAAGGGTTTGTGTTTTGGAGATGAAGTAAAGTGATTTGTTTCTTAAACACGTTGAACAAACGGCTGAACCGCTAAGAGACATGATAAAATACAGGTAATACAACAGAGCCACATTATGGAATGTAAACACTAAACGACATGAAACAGGAGGAAGTGAAACCATCAACGACGTACTGGATGATGCCCTCAGAGGTACCTGAACGCAGCACTGGTAGAGTCTTTGTGATGGGGTGTAACCACGTCGTCTTTAAGCGCTCAGCAGCAGGATACCTGTCACCCCCATCTCCTGAAGCTCCTCCTCCTCCTGCGGCTCCTCCTGAAGCTCCTCCTCCTCCTGCGGCTCCTCCTGAAGCCCCTCCTGCTGCTCCGCCTCCTCATCACCGTGTGGGTTTCTCTTCACTTTGACTACGTTTGACTTTTCTTCACCGCAGACTCAACACGCCAGAGTTCAACTTGTTTTCAGTCTGTC